GTTGTAATCGCGAAAAATGTCGAAATTTGGATAAGTTTTTTGAATGATACATGATGTTTATATCACGAAGCATTGACTTATTTTCTTTTATATCTCCAAAAATGTATATACTCGTAAGCTTTATATATGAAATTCGATTGTTAGTTTTGTGTTTGGTGTACCATTCTTCCACTCTAGCTAAATGATCATGCTCTCGTATGGCAGACAAAATTAACTTTTTCCAATTGTTCATCAGGATGAAACATTTGGTGTTTCCACATGGTGTTTTTCTGGGAAACATCACGCACATTGCATCTAACAATAGCACTTTGAACAGACTTTAGCTAGCAGCATCGGGCGTGGTGTACAGCTGTTGAAACCTTCTGGCTATGTCAGAGCGTCACCCGTTCGAGAATGAGTGTGTCTGGCCAGGTGTGACAGCTGCAAAAGCCATGATGGTTGGCTATTTCTGAGCCAGCACCTTCGCCGTCGGCGTCGGGACGCCTGCGACGCCACCAGCAAGAACACGTGTATAGGGGCAATTAGGCGGCTGAAATTAGCTTTTTTCTCGTTATAATCCTCAGAAGAGTTGTTTTTCTAGAGATGTATAATGAGATGAAATAGGTCAAGCTGATGAGACTTCATAAACGTACTGATTCATCTTGTTGACACTAGTGAATTGGATGAATTTTGCAACGAGCAATGGCTAAACCCATGAACCGCAGAATATCACTACACTAAGATCATACTCTCTCAGGGTCGCATTTTCCTTTTTTCAACTGCCTGTTTGGAGCCAGTATTCTAAATCCTTTCGTCCGATTATTTCATGGTGAATAGAGGTTACTAAAAACAATGTAATGAATTGTCAAAAAGTGCATCTTTTTTTGCACATGCTATTGTGCATTTTTCTTCAATCGTAACTTTTTAACAAATACTAGTACAGCTCTGAAATTGCATGTCAAAATTCTACTCATATAGTAGAATTGAGCAGGTGATTAGTTTTATTCTTATCACTTTCTCTCGTTGAAATATTTCTGATTTTCTTGAAGACTCATTTTGCAGCAAATTGAATTGTCAACATAAGTGATAAGAAAAAAGTAATCACCCGCTCAATTCTTCCATAAAAGTGGAATACTCACTTACAATGAAAAGTATTAAGAGTACTCCTCCATACAGGCTATTAAAAAAAGGAATATGCGACGTTAACACCAGATTGCCCAACGAAGTTATTTTGACTGCTTTTCAATTTCAATTAGAAATACAGTTACGCACAGCTTGATATAATTTTGTGACTTTATGTACTACATATAAATGCGTTATTAATCATTGTAGTTGCCTCCCCTCCTTCATTTCCGGTATATATATCTTCTCTACGTTCGTTTTGAAACACCTTGTGGCTGCAACCTCACCGACGAGTTAGTTATCTGACAATTTAAATCTTTCTGTTTTCTTTGCTAGCATCACAATTGTGTTTTCAGAATTCTGATGAGGCTCCATAGAGAATGCCGAAAGCTTGATTTTATCGTCAAAAGAGTCAACTTAAGCTTAAAAGATTTGCCAATTTCTCAATTAACAATTAATGGTATTTTGTGCCCAACTGGTCGTTGGCTTTGGCAATGACTACTGCTTATATATATATATATATATATATAGAGCGAGAGAGAGAGAAAATTATCATGCGGAGAAAGGTATATAACAAAAAATAGGAAAATAATGGGCAAAATCCGCAAAAAGAAGGAAAGTGGATACGAGCAGGAAATAGGATAGGTAACCCGAGCGATACGTATTTCTGCTGGTTGGCTTCATCAGACCCGAAATGAATGCACATATGAAATATATAACATTCTGAAAATCACATCATCTGAAGTGATTTGGCAACGTTGGTCACACGCCCACAATTCGTTCCACCTTTCTACACAGACATTCGGCCTTCTGTCAAAGGGTTCATCTCACTCACTATTCCGTGACCACCATTTTGTGCAATCATCAAGTGGCTTCACGATGTAATGCTTTCATGTTTTAAAAAAAATTATAATCTGTTTTTAACTTATTCTTGTCATATTTTATATAATTTTGACCATTGTACCATCTATCCAGCTTTCACCATGTTACTGGACGTTTCCCTCATCCTATACGTAAACAACAATTAGCAACATCCTCACATACTACTGTAAGTTAAGTCAATTTAAATTTACACTATTGTTGCTACTGTTATCATTGTAATTGCAGCTCCTGATGATGATGGCAAAGTCCATTGAAAGCTAGAGAGAATTAAAAAAGTATAAAGAGTCCTCTTTGCTTAAATTTTGTCGAAGTACCCAACAAAAGGCGGAAGCTTTAATTTTTCACCTAACTGGTCTAGACGACAATGACCACGTCTCAAGATATATAGTATATATATATATATATATATATATATATATATATAGCCATCTTCAGGAGTCGTCGCTGAGGTTGCAGCCAAATGGTGTTTCAAAACAAAAGCGTGGATGAGAGCACTTGTTACAACTATAAAACCAAAAGGTACAACATTGTGTACAAGGGCTATATACATTCTTTTGAGGTTAACAAAGCATTCCGCTATCTTGTCCGGATACGATTGGTTATGTTCAGTTTCACTTAGCTGTTAAAAGTTATAGCTGCCTGAAGTACGGTTTTGCTCAGTTGAAGAATATCTCGCTATCGCCTGAATCCGCAGATAACAAGCACACCTACTTTACATGCATGTCTTCTGTCATTCAACCTTAAACTTTCCAAGTCTATTGAAACAAATATAAATCTGTGAAAAAATGGTGATGAAATGATCTAATTAATAGAGAGGTTCCAAGATATTTGGATAATCTCTTTTTGGTGACGATACCAGCAGAGATTAAATGAAATCTCCTCACATTTACATCATAGAATTTTAGAATGAACCTCACGAATAAATTGGAGAGGCTCATATCGTTACCTTTGAAGCTACATATTTTTTTAATTATTTGGGGTATGCCTACTCTTTTATGCAAACTTTAGTCTGATAGCCAGAAAATCTTCGCAGATGGATCGTGGACTTTTAATGTGTCCATCGGATTTGGATGGATTTACCACTTCAACCCAGAATAGTGAGTATTTCGTGCGGAGCGGTTTTGGATCCAACAATACTAGTTATCTACTAACCCTGCAATACTGAAAGACCTATGGGTTTCAATTTGCCGAAGAAAAGAATCTGGGTTCTGATGTAGCATGGATACCTTGTATCAGCTGCAGGGTCCAGGTTGTAGCAGCTGATGCGAAAAAGCTGGATTATCAGTTTAAAGTTAGAAAATATGATTCACTCTCTAGCCCTCTCACTCTGCATAGATCGTAGATAAGATCTGGCTTTTGTTACTTCTGACATGTGTGTGGGGGGGGGGGGGTTTGCTGGTATCAATATCCCAACGGACGCTGCTCCTATGTCAGCTCTTTTTTATGATGCAGCCGATTTCTAGGTTTGCTTCATGGACTCGCCAAGCTGGTACGCCTGTTTCTTTGTTCCTCGAGAATCTAAATATTCTACAAGAATAGCAGACTTCTTATTTCCTGCAACTTCAATATTCTTATACCTAAGCTTTCGCATTTTTGTTAATAAAATTGAAATGAATAATCAACAAAAAAATCTCTATTTTTCCTATACTATGAAGGGGACTCCTAATGAACATGATACGCGTGGCCATGTACAATATAAGTCGCAACAGACTCGTGCCAGGCGGGTTGGGTTGTGCGTTTGTAAATACGGCGCGATAAAAAATAGGAAACAGATGATCACACAGCCGGGAGCCGCCTGTCTTATGTGAAAGTTACAAATGTTCTATATTCAGGTCTTATTGCACGTGTCATACTGTTTTTTTCTACCATGTTTATTTTTGATCATTATTGTGAAACGAAAATCCAGGCGCACTTAAATAGACATGGAATTTTTTGAAGGGTGTTGAGGCTTTCTATTTTTATTGAGTAAAATGGTTACAGAAAAATCGACGATCACGCACCAAAGAAATGAGCTCCTACAAATTACATCTGTAATATTCTTAAAATTGCTAAAGAGGATTTGTCTAACAGAATTAAGTACCTACTGAGGACTGAACCTCACATGCTCACATCGTGCACCTGAATGTCGTAAAATGACAACATTTTGTGAAATTAGTAATTTTCGCTTTTTATTGCTTTTTTTCTGCAATTATATGTTCATTATAGCTATCTTCATCAAGTTACTTAGCTGTCATTGGCAGAGCCAGCGCCACCTTCAACTAACGAGCCATGAAGAGAAAAAGGCAACACCGCATCATGGCATTTTGGGGTCCGGCCGTCCAGCTGGTGTGTGCCGTTATTAAGGCGCGTTTTCACGGGTCGATCTGAGTCGAACAATTTGTGTCGAACATTGAATCGAAAGCAAAGTGGTGTCGTTTTTATTTTTGGTCAACATACATCGCCTATCGTGTAAACCTTTTTGCTTTCAACTCAGATCGAACCATGGTCGAATAACCCAGGTGGTTCAACTTAGATCGACCCGTGAAAACGCGCTTTTACAGAAACTTCGATTCGAGCATTTTTTTGATGAATCTCAAATTTACGAGTACAAAGTACAAAACAATTTCACTAAACATAAGTTCAAAATCGAAATTACAGAATGTGAATACTCTATGCGAACCCTAGAGAGGGAAATTCACAAGAATACTAATTATGTAGTGCTTCTTATAACTAAGTTGTTTGCTGGCAGACGTATACAGGAGTAGAATCGTACTTGAGAAGTATAAATGAGATATTGCATTACCACACCAAGTTACCAATTTATATCGGGAGGTTTTGCCAAGAGCCATATATCTGTGGTACTAAGGCAAAACCCAATATGTCAAAAAATATTGATTTTTTGTTTTTAATGTCAATATGTACACCAAATGACGAAGTATTCTATGGCAAGACCCGATATAATTTATAAAATTTCCGTAACACTCTAAATTAATGTTATTTTTTTAAGGAGGAGCTTAACATTTAAAAAAAAATTGGAATTACTAAAAAAAATATATTCAGAATAAAGATAAGAAATAAATAAAATACATAACTGGAAACAAAACAAAAAACAGTGTACAAACTAAAAACAACGATAACTGAAAATTAAATAATAAGAGAAAATAAAATAATTGTAACAAAATAATAACTAAAAGGATATTAAAAAAGATATTGCACATTTTATATATCATTCACACATTGAAGGTGCTCAGCTTTCTCCGCTTTTGCAAATCAAAACTTGTGACTGGGGATTCAGATATGATACATAAAACTTTAAAGCCTGATGTTTCAATAATATTAAGAATATTTTTGACAAGTGGTACTAACTGATCCCCAGTTAAATTGTGTACAGGCAACAATCTAACAATTTCAGAGAAGTCACCAAAAGGAGAAGCTACCATCTACCATAAAAGCTAGTATAGTTTTTGCTACTTCATTGGCATTAGATGCATAGCCTACTATATTTTTTGACCTAAAATCCAATCTGGCGTTAATGTGAATTTCATCAATTAGCAGAATTACAATTTTTTCTCTTTCCGATAGATTCAATCCCATATTTGCCAAATAATGTTGGTTGTTAGAGTCACTGTTGGGTGTGAGGTTCATACTTGAAGAGATATGCTGCAAATACCTTTTGCTAGGCAGAATTAAAAAATCTTTGATTACATGGTAGGTAGCAGGAGACTGATTATAGAATATAAATGCCATAACAATTGTGAGTGAAGAATATCTATTTTTCTTATTTTGAATTTGTTTGAGCTGGTCAATTAAAACTTCTAGATTTTTAAAATGAGGGAAAGGTACTGACACATGATTTATTACTCTAACAGCATGTTCTAGATTCTCAATCCCTTTGTGAATATGACTATAGGCTAAATTTATATTTTCTAGTGTTTCTGTATTATCAAAATAAAAACTATACCTACTCAGTAAGTTTTCTAATTGAGACCATCTAGAGAGCTTCAAGTCAAATGGGAGCACCCATTTCAAATCATTACATGAGAGCAGATCCCCTTTATTAAATACCTTAGTTTCTAATGAACTGTCTATTATAATTTGCGTATTCAAAACTAAAATTTCACTGATTGTTTCTAATTTATAAAAATAAATTTTGTCATTAGTCTTCTTCACCAACCAATGTTCAGGGATTTTAATCATTTTAGAATAGTTTTCCAATAAATCTGAGAATCCTGTAATTTTGTCTTTTTCCTGAAATTCTGAAACCAAATTCTCATGCCTTTGAAGGATCTTATCTTGTCTGATGGCAGGATCTGTTCTACTAGAAACTTGACACTTACTTAGATGGCACATTTGGAAAGACTGATGGAACAGCACCTTCTGAAAGTTTTGGACGACTCAGTGTGACTGTGTTAGCTGATCCATCCTGCAGAACATAAGTTTCCGTACGGACAATTTCTGCTTGTTGAAAATGTGCATCACAAACAACAGAATCTTTAGAAGGCGACCAGTCCTTTCTTGGTATTGAAGCTAGCCACTTACTTTTCAACTCCTCATTTTTTGGAAATCGAAACACTGACCTGTAGGGTGTCGATCTCAATTCTGCCTCGTAGTTTCCCTTGCAGCCTGGTACACAGCAACGCTTAGGCATATTAATTAAAAGAAAAGATTTACCCACTCGAATCTACACACTATACAGACGTTTCTAACAAGCACCGATTCACACACATTTTAAACACATCAAAGCACGATTTTATACTACCTAAAATAAATACTTTCTGCACGGTTTGAAGAGAAAAACTAAGTAGATTACTCTGGTTTGTATGAATTGCACTGTTCCCAGAGATTTACAACAAAATTGCACCAAAAAGTCAGAGGTTAGGAATATAAACAAACGAAAAGCCCGGCAAACACCTGTCTGTGGAAGACCCCAAAGCTGCGTTGCCATATCTACTGTTCATGGCTCAGTTGAAGGTGGCGATGGCAGAGCTTATCAAAAAGTCAGACTCGATCTACTTGACCCAATTTTTACTACCTATGAATAAACAAGAAGCTAGTTGTATCATTTAAAACTTATCCTGAGGTTGTCTTGATGATCGCTCTTCATGTTCTGCTGCCCGCCAAATAAAATATTACAACATATCGTAAGTAATGCTGATAACAAAAGGCATATTTTTGTTTAAATGTATACTCACTGTGGGTATATACGAAAAAGTCAATTCATTAATAGAAGCATGCCATAGAACACAATAAAACATACGTAATCCAATTTTTGTGCTTACCAAATGCGTTTTACGAATGTCGCAGTAGCAAAAAGAAATTACGCTACTAGACGTCCAAATCGGCGTCTTTGCGACTTGATATTCCTTCCCCAATTACTTTCGAGGTTACGATCCAGTAGCTTTCGGCCTACGTTTGAAACGGCAAAGAATTGGAAGAACACAAGAAAATATTAAACGCCTACTAGGATATATTGAATGATATCCTCATGTTAGCACAAGGTCATAATCCTTTGAGTTGGGCATATCACGAACAACGTACAATAGGTAAGTCAAAATATAGGGGATTTATTTAGATTTAACTTTTTTTTAATTACTTCTAGAATGCACCCATATCATGTCGTTTTGCATCAGCCCTTGAAAAAGGAAAACTTTTATCGGAGGCTAAACTATTGCCGTTGGATGTTAAGCATGATACGCGAAAATAGAAAATTTTTAGTTCAAATTTTGTGGACCGATGAAGCCTCCTTTAATAGTGAAGAGGGAGTCAATCTGCACAATATGCATTATTGGTCTGCAAAAAATCCGCATTGGTTGCTTGAAGTTCAGCACCAAGGGCGTTGGAGTTTTTATTTACGCGGACGGTTAAAGGACATCATGTTTCAAACTCAACCTACAACCAGAGAAGATATGAAAAACCGGATTCGTAATGCAATACATAACATACCGAGAGCCGGAATTGAAGCTGCAGTTTTGTCTACGTATAAGAGGCTTCAGGAATGCCCAGAGCGTGATGGTCATGATTTCAAGCATTTACGGGGGCAGAAAAATTAGTTTAAAAAAATGTCTGTAAAAAATGTTCTTTGGCCTAAATTTTAGGTCGCGAGCTTGTTTAGGCATCATTTAGCTACTTTTTCATAAAGAAATCATACCTATGCATTTAATTTTTGTTTTTAGAAAATTAACTATTTCTGATGGAATGTCGAAAAAGCCATCTAGCGACCACATGTGAAACTAACAAAACTTTAAATATTATAAAAATTCTAGCCCAGGAAAAGCTCTTTCCTACAAAAATCGGATCAGCTACCTTGAAGATGGGTGTGTCTTACGGAAACCTTTGAATACACTCCACACTTTATTCTAGAGATACAGCAAAAATTGCCACACAAAAAACTTCACATTATACTCACTTCAAAGATCAGGTAATTTTTGTTAGGTTAATATAGCGGAATTCACAGAAACATCACTTTTTTCAATCCCAGATTGCAGTTACGCCATCTTGAGACCATTTCAGAAATTTGAAAATATTTTCCAAGTTTTTTTCTTGGCCGTTTCAGTAATAACTGTTTTTGCCGCAATCATCTACGATGGATACGTTCCCAGAAACAGTATCTCGTATTCGTAGTTGGCCACCCTGTACAATATCACATCATTGAAATCGGAAAGGACCTATGATATTATGAAACAAATGACTCCGTATTAATTTCTCGGATCATTTAGGAAATTCTTTTTTTAACAGCTATGGTTTGGCAGCGACAATGCATGCCATATTACACATTTTTTGGACTCACAATATAAGCAAAAATAAAGTTGATGACCGAAGACTAGACGAAACGTCATATTGAAACTCTAATTGTGACACCTCGTAGAGGAGAAAAAGTGCGAATGTTAATATACTTTTTATTTTGGAATAAAATGGAATGAAAAAAAGTAAAATCGGGAAAAAATAACGATTTTAAGAAAATTCGTTTTTTTCGTCTGTCTCCGGAAATACTCGGAATTGCCAAACTTCGTGTCCAATTTTTTAGTTACGTAAGTGCGCAACTTTGCCTCCATTTAACCCACATCATATCTCTCACCGGTTACGTGATCCCAATGGTGCGAGTCAAATTTGAAACACGCCGAATAGGGTTACGTCTTCTATTCGTCATTGCCTGTCAGAGGGGTCCGTAGGCTCTTGGTTAAAGTCTTGTAAGTCAGTAGGTCTGTCAGGTCTGGTTACCCAGATACCAGACAAAGTCGGGGAGAAAGAATGGAAGCAGAAAGAAAGGAAGGAAGGAGGGAGAGCAAAGAAAAAAGAAGTGCGTCAATTTGGCAATTTTAAGTTGCTCCTAAAATTAATTTAGAGATTGGTTGCTGAAGAAAAATTATAATTGTGGTTGGACCTAAAGTCGCACGATTGAATTTTGTTCACTGTGCGAGCCACGGCCTTGTGTGCTTGCGAACTTGCTCGACTTTGCAGTCTACTGACTCCCGCAACAAAGGTTCTGTTCTGCAAAACCTTCAGGCTACGTAGATGCATTTTGGCGAGAAAACACTAAGCCGCACTTGCGTAAGTGATCGCTGGTCTAATATCAATCTTGTATAGCCGGACTTTGTTGATCAAACCTAATTTTGAGGTTCTACATAGCATAGGGTAGAGTTGCCGATACGAGATCTGGAATTTAGTTTTTAACGCTTCAGTGTGCTTCTGCCAGGTCATCCCCTTGTCAAGAGTTACACCGAGATACTTAGCAGATCTTTCCCATGGTAGCCGAGCTACATTTACTGAAACCTCGGACTGGGCGCCGCAACGTCTTTTAGTACAATTGATAGCCTGGGTTTTCGAAAGATTAGTTTTTATCAGCCAGGGGTGGGTACCGCAGAGCCAAGAATATCGAAAATATAAGTCTACTTGACACCATTTATAGTAATTCCCATTCGAATCCACTGATTGGGCGCAGTGCTTGTTAATGGAGCAACTGTCCTTTGCTCCCCCATCTTCATGAAATGACGTGTCCTGCAATTACGCGAAAGCTTTTAATATGATTCCGAAGGCGGAAAGCATGTCGCGTATGCAGCGGGGTGGGGAAAGGGCAAAGCTGGCTGCTATATTGGAGTGATTCCCACATTCCCAGCGGTGGGGTAGACTAACGAAGGGACGCGCACGTGCTCCACACGCGCCGGAAGAAAAAGGGAGCGACGCTCCCAGTTGCGCTTCGCCTTTCTTATTTACGCACTACATGCATACATTAGTGCAGTCGATTCGATACTAGGCTTTTAACGTCAGATCGTTTCATGTTATGTATAGAGATGACTGAAAGACAATGTTATCAGTTTCTTTTTTATCAAAAAGTAGATTTTTTGTGAATTTTTCTTCAATCGTAACTTGTTAACAAATAACAGTACAGCTCTAAAATTATAGAAGAATTTAGCGCGTGATTACTTTTCCCTTATGACTTTCTCTCTTCGGAAAATCTTTGCTTTTCTTGAAAATTCACTTTGCTGCAGAAAGACGATCCAAGAGTAATCAAAAATTTTTTGAAGAGAAAAAAGGAATAAAAGTAGTTACCGGCTCAACTCTAGTGTAAAAGTGGATTTTTATATACAATTTCAGGTATACTAATTTTTTAACAAGTTAGGATTGAAGAAAAATGCACAAAAATGCATTTTAGACAAAAAAAAGTTGATAAGATCGTTTCTTTAGTCATCTCTACACACACCATGAAATAATTAGATGAAAAGGATTTGGAATACTGTTCCAAACAAGCAGTTGAAAAAGGTTTGAACTTAGAACTGGTCCTTATGCCATCTCCATGACATGAAGTAAGCTTATACGTATACTCATACCTTCATTCAAAACCTGGGACGCTTAGCGCTTTCCGTGGGGGCTGGATAGTCCGAATGTGTTACGGCGACGAGCTTCTAGCATATCTGCTCAAACGTTCCCTGGTTCGAATCTCTGGAGAGCAGGAGGGTAGTCTTGGCTCTCTAATTAAGATGCAAAATGGAAAACTCAAGAGATTGCAGTCGCTTACGCAATCGAATATCAGAGAAAGTTCTTTGATCATGTATTTGGACCAGCGTTTTAACAGAACAACGTTGTAGGTACCATACATGTGTTGAATGTCTTAGTAAAACTTCAAATCTGTAGAGAGAGGAGGAGGTTAGGCTTGGCTGATTAGTTAAGATGCAGAATTGAAAACTCATAAGGCTACAACCGTTACCCAATCGAATATCAGAGGGCCAAAAAGAACGTTTGTTCTTTGTTCATGTTTACCACAACATCCAACAACGGTATGGTACCTATAACGCTGTTCTGTTGAAATGCTGGGTCAAAGACATGAACAAATAACAAACTTTCTTTCTGGTCCTATGATATTCCATTGCGTTGCGGCTGGAATCTGATGAGTTTTCAATTTTGTCTATATACGTACGCACCAGATCGGTGCAAGTTCAACTAGGTACATGAAATCGCTGGAACTTGTTTGTTCAATAAATAACACAAAGAAATACAAGTGGCTGGGGTGATAATATAATACCTCATTTTAAGGATCGTAATCACTACTTACCCTAGAATATAAATTTACCACTTTCTAAAACGTCGAACTGGCGAGCTACTA